CTTAATGTATTCTGATGATCTGTCATTATGTTCCTAAGTATTTATATTTATCATGTCTTTTACCTATATTTTGAATCTTTCAGGAATATATGTTCTTCCTTGCCTCTGATAACCTTTTTCTTTTTTGATGTAAAGTTTGCTTTGTCTGATAATAGTAAACCATTTCTGCTCTCTTTTTGTTATTATTTTCATGAAATAATTTTTCATCCTTTTGATTTTAATCTATTTTTGTTTGTTGTGTCTTGTAGACAGCATATAGTTGAATCATGTTATTTTTATTAATCCATTCTGACAGTTGCAGTTTTCTGATCGGAAGTTTCAATCTATTTAAATTAATGTAATTAATAAACCCCTGACAGTAAAGGACTTATTTCTACTGTTTCACTAATTAATTTCTATATGCATTATAGATTTTTTCCCTAATTTCCTGCAAACTGTCATCTTTTGTGTCTAATGGATATTTTTCAGTGAACTATTTAACATTTTATTTCTCATTTCTTTTTTCTATTACTGTTTTCTTTATGGTTTACCATATGTATTGCATTTCATATCCAAATATTATAACCCTCAAATTCAAATTTATGCCAACTTATCTTTGATAACTTTCAAAACCTTCTCCCTTAACATTTTCATATCCACCTCTTGTATCTTGATGTCACAGAATTATAACTTTATAAGTTGTTTTCCAGAAATATAAACTAATAATTTCTTAAACTGCATTATTTTTTCAATTACATGAAAACAAAATGTGATATTTATTTATAAAACAAAGTTATAATAATACTAGAGTTTAACCTAATAACTTTTCAAGCATATTCATTTCTTAGGTAATACTGAAAACAAACATTCAGGTTCAGATCATTGTTATAATAACACTAACTTTCATAATTTCTCACCTTTATTTAGATCCTTTTGTTTCATGTAACTTCAAATTTACTATATATCTATATATTGTCTTTCTTTTCTTTCTTTCTTTCTTTTTTTTTTTTTTTTTGGTGCCACAGGACTGCCTGCCTATTTCTGCAGAACAGACTGAGTGATGATAAACACCTTCCACTTTTAAAAAAGAATTCTGGGAGTATCTTTATTTTACTCCCAATTTTGAAGAGCAGTTACACCAAGTTTAGGATTTATGGTTGATATATGTTTTTGATTGCCTCCTGCTTCCTGGTTTCTAAATTTTATTTTTTTAAAAAATTGTTTGGGATTCATTGATGGTATAAAAATTAGTTTACAATGATTGTGTATGTTAGGTAAAGTCCTTCTTGTAATTGTGTCTCACCCCCAAGAGGAGTGCCATACACAATGACCCACCATCCCTTATCTTGATAACATTCAAAAGCTGCTCTTTTAACACTGTCATTCCCTTTCCCTGATCCCTCATTCCCTGACCCCTCACCTTGTATTAGATCATCTACTGTCTTCATATTAGAATTGAGTACATTGGATTCCTGCTTCTTCATTCTTATGATGCTTTACTAAGAAGAATGTGTTCTAACTCAATCCAGGTTAACACAAAATATGTAAAGTCTCCATCTCTGTTAATGGCTGGATAGTATTCCATGGTATACATATACCACAGCATGTTAATCATTTTTTGGGTTGGTGGGCATTTAGGTTGTTTCCACATTTTGGTGATTCTAAATTGAGTCATGATAAACAGTCTAGTGCAAATGTTCTTATGTTAATTTTTTTTTTCAGGGTGTATGCCTAGTAATGGGATAGCAGGATCAAATGGGAGGTTTAATTTGAGTTCTTTAAGGATTTTCCATACTTCCATCCAAAAAAGGTTGCATTAGTTTTCAGTCCAACCAGCAGTGTAACAGTGTTCCCTTCTCACCACATCCATGCCAGCATCTGCATCTTTTAAACTTTATGATGTGGGCCATTCTCACTGGGTATAGGTGATATCTCAGGGTGTTTTTTATTTATATTTCCCTGATGATTAGAGAAAATGAGCATTTTTTTCATATGTGCATTGTGTTTTGATGTCTCATGGAAAGAAAAATTTCTATTCATATTTTTTGCTCAGTTTTAATAGAGTTGCTTGATTGTTTTTGTTGATTTGCTGAGTTTTTTGTAAATTATGATTATCATCTCTTTGTCATTTGTTGCATGCAAATGTCTTCTCCAATTCTGTAGAATTGACTATTTGCTGTGTTGATTGTTTCCTTGGCTGGGCAATTTTTTTTTAACTTTATCTGGTCCCATTTGTTTATTTTTGTTGTTGCTATAATTGCCATTGGGGTCTTCATCATATATTGTTTGCTGAGCCCAATATCTTTAAAAGTTTTTCAGACACTTTCTTCTAGGATTGTTTTAGTTTTAGGACTTAGGTTTAAGGCTTTTATCAATCATGAGTTAATTTTTGTGAGTCATGAAAGGCATAGGTCCTGTTTCAGTCTTCTACATGTGACTATAAAGTTCTCTCAGCATTATTTATCATACAGGGATTTTTCTCCCCAGTGTATGTTTTTCTTTGCTTTGTTGAAGATCAGTTGACAATATGAGGCTGGTTTCAACTCTAGGTTCTGTGTTCTATTCCATAGGTCTGTCTTGCTATTTTTATGCCAGTGCCATGCAGTTTTGCTCAGTATGGCCTTGTAATATAGCCTGAAGTCTGGTAAAGTGATGACTCCAGATTTATTCTTATTTTTGGGATTGCATTGGCTATTTGGGTTTTTTTCTGATTCCATATGAAGTGTAGAACTAATTTTTCAAGATCTTAAAAGTATGACATTGTTATTTTAATGGAGATTGGATTGAATCTGTAAATAATTTTGAGTAGTATAGACATTTTAACAATGTTGGGTCTGCCAACCTATGAGCATGATATGTTCTTCCATCACTTGACATCATCTGCAATTTCTTAGTGTTTCATCGTTTACTCTATAGAAATCCTTCTCATCCTTTATTAAACATTAAACTTCAAGATAATTTCATTTTTTTTTTTTGACACAATGGTGAAGGGTATTGCATTTTTGATTTGATTCTCAGCTTGACTGTTGTTGGTGTATATGAAGACTACTGAGTTGTGTACATTAATTTTATATTCTGAGATATTGCTGTATACCTTTATGAGTCCCAAGAATTTCTGCCCTCTTTAATGTAATGTTTTGATTTTTTTTCTTGTGCATTTACTTGAATTCTTTGTAGATTCTGGTTATTAGCTCTTTATTAAATAGACAACATGAGAATGTTTTCTCCAAGTCTGTAGGTTGTCTGTTTGCTCTATTAATTATCTCTTTTGCTATGATGAAATCTTTTAATTTAATCAAGTTCCATTTATTTATTTCTATTACTGTTGTAATTATTCTTAGGTATTAGTCATAAATTCTTTGCTTAAGCTGATATCAAGAAGCATTTTTTCCCCACATTTTCTTCTAGAATTTTTAAATGTGACATGGAAAATATAGCAATATTAGTAGCAATGTAGTAAATAATTTTTATATATCTCATTTTTGATATTCTAAAATATACATTCAAGTGATTTTTCATAGAGGATATCTGAATATCTTAGATGAATGATAGTAATACATGATCAAGCATTTTTAAATATAGATGGTTTTTGCAACATTTTGAATTGTACTCATTGTTTTAGGCGAAAAGCAAGATTTATACCAGCTTTTATTTTTTATTTTATTTATTTTCTTTTATTTTTCAGTTTTTGGCCAGGGCTGGGTTTGAACCCACCACCTCTGGTATATGGGGCTGGTGCCCTACTCCTTGAGCCACAGGAGCCACCCAGTTTTTACTTTTTATAATGGATTTTGTTCTGATTGGTAAATGAATACTTTAAATGAATATTATTATTAAAATGGTATATTCTGCTATAACATAATGCATATCATGGTTGTCACATCTGGTATTATATATCAGAATAAGAAATAGTATTGACAATTAATATAATGCATAGAAAGCATTATTAGAAACATCTAATATACTATAAATTAGTGGTATATTTAATGAAATTTTAACATTCTAATTGGATTAAGTACAATACCTACTATGTAAAGTTGAATTAACATGTTTTTTGAGAGAAATTCTCTGGTTATGCTTGCTAGATACAAATTTATTTTTATATAGTAACATTTTGATAATTGCAAATAAACTAAGAGTATCTGTAACTTCTTGCTCATTTTGGAATATATGGGATATAAGTAATAACTGAAGTTTTCTTTCCCTTTGAGATCTAAATGATATTAGCTCAAGTATCCATTCCAGTGTCCCAATTCTTTTAATTCTAAATATTCTGTCATTATTATGACCCAAAGACAAAACTCAACCAGAATGCAAAATGTTTTCACAGACTGTTAACTTCACTGAAAATTTCTGGATAATTAGAACATGCCACATAAGTGTATGTAATAAAATTGTGAAATTCACATTTAAAGCATTCCTTTCTCAGAAGACTTTTTTAGCTGTCTTACTACTAAGAGTCTCTTAATGTACTATTACAGCCTATAATTATACATTATCTTTTCTTTTCTGTTTCTCTCAGATAGCACAGTAAAGTGTGCTTTTATGCTCATACTCATAATGTTAAGACATCACTCATCTACTCAATAGTGTGAAATAAACTATGTACAGTCAGATGGTAAAGATGTAATCATGTTTATTCATGTTTAACATAGAGGTGTTATTTTCTTACCATCTGGTACCAGAAGTCCCCTTAGAAAGATGAATAGCTGGAAAAATTATTTGATTTGTACTTTGAATTTAAGAATTATCTGAAGGACATCTAAAAAATGCACATGCCTGGACTCCAGTAGAGATGATTCTGTCAAAATTTTAGGGAGCAGAGTCCAAGAGATTTCTATCAACTGATTGTATGTAGTTTATTTCTTATTTTTTTCATTGTTGTCAGAATTATGATTTTTTTTGTTGATTTTTCTTTGAATTTTGGGTATGAATTATAAGATTTTATTGATTTTTTCTAATGTGTTATCCATGCATGCATTTTGACTAATATTTTTTTTTATTTTTTGCTTTGTTTTCAGTATTGTTCAAATAAGGAGTGCAAAGAAGTTAGGTTCCTGGTCAATACTACCTTGTGTGAAAATACTATGAATTGCAATAAACACGGAGTAAGTAATTGTTGTTTTTATTTAAAGTAGCATGCTTTTAACAATTTAATAAATAATTTGGGGTTAAAACTATTTTTTTGGTATTTTCATTCTATTTACTGTCATTTAATTATATGCAATTTATAACTTTGATCTTGTGTTCTTGTTTGGGATTCACTGAAGGTACAAAGAATTAGGTTACCCTGACTGCATTTTTTAGGCAAAGTCTCTCTTATAATTGTGTCCTGGCCCCGACTGAGAGGTGTGCCATACACTATGACCTCCCATCCCCCACCCTGCCCTCATTCCCTTCCCTCATTTTTCTACTGCCACCTTAAGAAACTTTCCAAACTATTTACTAGAGTAGATAAAGAGAAAACATTTAAGATGATTCTAGCTGTATAAAATGTTTGGTAAAAAGGTGAGGCAGGTGGAGGTACTGAACATACCAGAAGTCCTTTTATCACCATGTAACCAAAATGACCTGATTTTTATATAGAGAAGGCCAAAACTGGTACATAAAAGTCATTAGCATTTTCTTGGTAGTTTTCCAGGTTAATCTAGGGCCTGGGAAATTCTGTGATACTAGCAAGTAGAGGATAATTAGTGGCATATTACTGGTAATTACAAGGTATTTGGGCCTGGTTGTGGGGTAAATTGAAATATTTTTTTTTTTTTAAGAAATTGATTTGGCAAAAGAAACTACATGTACTTACTTTCCAAAATGTAGACATTTTTGAGGGAAAACTTGATGAATTTTTTGGTTGAAGGTAAATGACATACCCCATTGAATAATTTTAGACTATTCATTGGTATCCATTGAAAGCTACCTTTGTACAAAAATTATTTCATTTTTTGAATATTCTAGATTTGCAATAATTTTAACCATTGCCATTGTGACAAAGGATTTGCTCCTCCTGATTGCTCAGAGAAAAAAGGAGCATTTGGAAGTATTGATGATGGACATCAGCATAAGACTGGTTCGTATCTTTAAAAACTGTATTAATTAAGTACAGTATGTTAAGAGAATAAATTATAGGCTTTAAGCTAGATTGCAAAGCAACTAATGCTAATAAATGTGCCTTTATTTTACTTGTAAGAGCTAAAAAATGTGACAATGTTAACTAAGGAAAAGTGTACCCATTGTTAGACAATTTTTTTAATTAAATCATTACTGTGTACATTAATGCACTTATGGGATACAATGATGATTTGATTCTACAATGGAATGCTTACTTCAAACTAATTAACATGGCCATCACCTTACTTACTTATTTGTTGTGGTAAGATATTTATAATGATTTTTAAATGTACCATTGCATTATGCACATTAGGTGAGGTCCTACCAAAAACCTTCCTCCTCCCCATCTCCTCCCTCCCCTACCTTCTCCCTCCTCTTCCCACCTTCTTTCTGAACTATAGTTATGTTTTATAATTCATATGAATGTATAGGTGATTATATATTGGTTTCATAGAAGTATTGAATACATTGGATACTTTTTCTTCCATTCTTGAGATACTTTACTAAGAAGGATATGTTCCAGTTCCATCCAGGTAAACATAAAAGATGTAAAATCTCCATCTTTTTTTATGGCTGCCTAGTATTCCATGGTATACAGTATACCACAATTTGTTAATCCATTCATGGAATGATGGGCATTTAGGCTATTTCCACAACTTGGCAATTATGAAGTGGGCTACAATAAACATTCTGGTACAAATGTCTTTGTGGTAAAATGAGTTTGATTCCTCTGGGTAAATACCAAGTAATGGAATTTCAGGATCAAATGGAAGGTCAACTTTTAGTTTCTTGAGGATTCTCCTTACATATTTCAATACAGATAGTATTAGTGTAAAATACCACCAGCAGTGTGCAGAAGTATTTCCTTTTATCCACATCCATTCCAACATCAGCAGTTTTTTTTAATGAGGAGGCAATAATTTATTTATTTATTTACTTATTTTTATTATTGTTGGGGATTCATTGTGGGTACAAAGAACCAGGGTATATTGATTGCATTTGTTAGGTAAAGTCCCTCTTACAATTGTATACCACCACCAAAAGGTGTGTCACCCCTCCAATCCCACTCCCTTCTTCCTTCTCCCTGCTCTTCCCTTCCCATACTCCTCTCTCATTCCCTCTCTCTCCTCTCCCCTTCCCCCATCCCCCACCAGGTACTAGGTCATCAACTGTCCTCATATGAGAAATGAGTACACAGGATTCTTGCTTCTCCATTATTGTGATACTTTACTAAGAATAATATGTTCCACTTCCATTAAAGTCTCAATATTTTTTAAAGGCTGAAAACTATTCCATGATGTAAATATACCACAGCTTGTTAATCCATTCCTGGGTTGGTGGGCATTTACATTGTTTCCACATTTTGATGATTGTAAATTGAGCTGTGGTAAACATTCTAGGGTAGTTCTTAGTAACAGAAACAAATCCAGGGACATCAGCATACCAGACTTCAGGCTGTACTATAAGGCTATAGTGGTCAAAACAGCATGGTACTGGCACAAAAATAAAGACACAGACATTTGAAACTGAATAGAAAACCAAGTAATAAAACTAACATCTTACAGCCCCCTAATCTTTTTTTTTTTTTTAAATTAAATCATAGCTGTGTACATTAATTCTATCATGGGGTAAAGAGTGCTGTTTCTATATACAATTTGAAATACTTTCATCCAACTGGTTAATATAAACTTCATGTCATTTTCTTAGTTATTCTGTTAAGACATTTATATTCTACATTTAGAGAGATTCAAATGTACCCTTATAGGCTGAATCATTGGCATGATCTCACCAATCATGCTCCCTCCAGCCATCCTCCCTCCTCCCCTCCTTGCCCTCTCCCCTTTCCCCATTTTTTTGGGCTAAAATTGGATTATAGTTTTCCTATGAAAGCTATAAATTAGTTTCATAGTAGGACTGAGTACATTGGATACTTTTCCTTCCATTCTTGAGATACTTCGCTAAGAAGAATATTTTCCAGCTCCATCCATGTAAACATGAAGGAGGTAAAGTCTCCATCTTTCTTTAGGGCTGCACAGTATTACATGGTGTATATTTACCACAATTTATTGATCCATTCATGGGTCAATGGGCACTTGGGCTTCTTCAATGACCTAGCAACTGTGAATTGGGCTGCAATGAACATTCTGATATAAATATCTTTATTGTAGTGTGATTTTTGGTCTACTAAGATATATACCTAGTAGAGGAATTATAGGATCAAATGGAAGGTTTATCTTTAGTTCTCTAAGTGTTCTCCAGATGTCTTTCCAAAAAAAAAAAAGTATCATTTTGCAATCCCACCAGCAGTGTAGAGGTGTTCCCTTTTCTCCACAACCATGCCAGCATCTGTGATTTTGGGATTTTGGGATCTGGGCTAATCTTACTGGTGTTAAATGATATCTCAAAGTAGTTTTGATTTGCATTTCTCTGATGATTAAGGATGGTGAGCATTTTTTATATATCTGTGGGCTATGCACCCTGCGAGGGTGCCCGAGAGCAGGGAGCACCAGCAGCAGCATGGAATATGCAGCTCAAGCAGTTCTCCAGCTGCAGGGCTGGAACAGGGTGCTTGGTCCCACAGGGGTGGGGGAACCCTGCTCTTAGGCCTCATCTCTCTGTCTCTGCAGGCAAGGGAGGAAGGGTGAACCGGAAATTCAAATGGCAGTGAAAATGTTAGTTCGATTTTTCTGCCTGGCGATAGGGTGTTCTGACTCTCAGAAGGGTCCCTCTAGGGGAGTAGACCCTACTTCCTGTAGCTCTCACATGTCAGGTGAGATGATAGGTCCTCAGTTCACCTCTTGCCTGTAGGAAACTTACAGGAACAGGCGAAGAGAAAACAAAGAGAAAAAAAATAAAATACAATTTTCTTGGGGGAGGGGATGGACACTTTTCCTTTGTGATGTGTTATGTACCTGTAGATTGCTTTCTAAGAGTTGCAACTTGCCTTAGCAGGGGTGTCTGCAGATGTCGCTCTTCAGTCTCAGCTGGTCTCCTAGTCTTCAAGTTATATGGGTATTTTCTGGACTTTACCCTTCGCTCTGGATGGGAACTTCTGTCAAAGGCTGGTACCTGTTGGCCATCTTGCCCCTTCCCCCTAGCCGCCTAATCTTTGATAAACCAAAAAAGAACATACTCTAGGGGAAAGAATCTCTGTTCAGTAAATGGTGCTGGGAGAATTAGATATCCACATGTAAAAGACTGAAACTGGACCTGCACCTTTTTCTACTCACAAAAATTGATTCGAGATGGATAAAAGACGTAAATTTAAGGGAGGAAATGAAGGGGGGGTCAAGATGGCTGACAGGCACCAGTCTCCGACAGAAGCTCCTGTTCAGAGGAAAGGATAAAGTCCAGAGAAACCCCCAACAAAGTCAAAAACTGGGAGCCCAGCTGAGAGAGGAGTGATACCAACAGGACACCTCTTCTGAAACAGGCGGAGACTCCTAGAGGACAATCCACAGGTACATAAATCACCCCAAAGGAATAGCGCCCATCCCCTCCCCCAAGAAAGGTGTGCTTTTCCTTTGTTTCCTCTTCAACCGCTCCTCCGAGTCTCCTACAGGCTACTGATAAACTGAGGACCTATTCTCTCACTCCAGGAGTGAGAGCTGCTAACAGGGAAGTTTACTACCCTGGAGGAACCCAGTTGAGACTCAGAACACCCTCCCCCAGGCAGAAAAGTGGAACTGGCCTTTGCACTACCATTTTGAGTTTCCAGTCCACTCTCCCTTCCCTTGCCGGCAGAGACAGGGAGAGGAGCCCCAGGACCAGCATCCACCCACCCTTTCAACACCAAGACCCTGCCCCAGTCCTTCACTGGGAGAACTGCTTGATCCACACTTTCTTCGTGCAAACAGACTACCCTCAGTCAGCGCATTCTGCGCTCAGCTGTCTCCCCAGCTACTATCTGCAGTTCCCGAGACCTAGGTGCCCGTGACCAGGATTGATGCCCGGACAGGAAGGGCTACACACCCTGCCAGGCATCTGCCTCTGGGGCTTTGGTGGCCCTTGATGGCAATTGACTTCTGCTGGGTGGGGTCACTGAGCCCCGCCTGCCTCCTGGAGCCTTGCTGGCCTGCGGCTGCCATTGAACCTGCTGGGAAGGGTCGTGAAGTCCCACCAGCTTCTTGTCTGCCTCCAGGGCTTTGGCAGCAGGTGAGGGCAATTGACTTCTGCTACAGCAGGTCGAGCAGCTGCGCGTCTGCCTCCTGGGGCCCCCTGGCCCTGGATCACCACTAGCTCCCGCCTGAGAGGGTCGCACCGTCCTGCCAGTCACGCGCCAGCCTCCGGGGCTTTGGTGGCCATGGAGGGGAACTGACTTCTGCAGGGTGGGTTGCGCAGTTTCGCGCCCGCCCCCCCACGCCCGGCTTGTTGGCTGGCAGTTGCCAGCAGCTCCTGCCGAGGAGGGTCATGCCATCCCGCCAGTGGCGTGCCCCCTCTGGGGCTTTGCAGCCTGTGAGGGCAGCTGACTTCTGCAGGAGCAGGTTGCGCAGATGTGCACCTGCCTCCCGGGTCCTCCCAGCACGCGATCACCACCAACTCCTGCCCGATAGGGTTCCGCCATCCTGCATTTGGGGCTTTGGTGGCTTGCAAGGACAACTGACTTCTCCTGGAGCAGGTCGCGCAGCCACGCACACACCTCCGGGGGCCTTGCCAGCTTGCGGTTGCCAGCAGCTCCTGCTTGGGAGGGTCACGCCATCCCGCCAGGGTGCATCTGCCTCCGGGGCTTTGGTCGTCAGTAAGGACAACTGACCTCCACAGGGGCAGGTTGCGCCTGCCTCCCAGGGCCTTGATGGCTACACTGACTCCTGCAGGGGTGGGCTGCATCACCCCGCCTGCTGGTCCCGCCTCCCTGGGTCTTGCTGGGTTGTGCCCAGAAGAAAACTAGAAGCAGCCACTGGCAGAGAAGTTTTAGGGACGGTTTCGAAAGGTGTAAATTCAACATGGGACGGAATCAGCAGAAAAACTCTGGC